ACCCAAAAAGACGACTTCACGTGACACATGACAAGCCCAGACATACTACTGATGTGGTTCATGCATCAGCATCGAAACAAAATAATACGATATCGAACCGATTTTGTAGCATTCTCGCCCAAGATATATGCAGTTCTCCTCATTTTGAGCATTTAGCATCTGGTTGGTAACTGGCGGCCTGGCCTCGAAGCCCCTTGAGTTACTCCGTACTACTCGGGGTTACCAGGACCGTCGATGTCAACTACTTAGCTAGTTAAGGTTCCATGTCAGTGACATGGCTGAAGGCTCGAGGGTTGCAGCAAACCAAATAACTACGCCAATATTTTAGCCGGAGGGAATTTCGAGGCCACTTGTCACGTATCTGACCGATGACACGATGGCCTGATCTATCGTGTCCCCCTTGTAACTGGGACATGCATCAAAGGCCTACTTATGGACAGATTTTCTAGTCACATGCCAGGTAGTGGTTACACACTCTTTGGTCGTTAGGCTGGGTATAAGATGTCAAAGTAAGAATTAAAAGAGTTAAACGCTAAATGCTGACAGTGTAAATAAATTATTGCCCTTTGCTTCAACAAATGAAAAAAACTAGGATAAAACCAGGGAGCACCAGAGTATTGCAGGATTTGGGTATATATATGCACAGAATTTTTGTTCAAGACACGGGTTCGTACTGCACCCTAGGTTCGCTTTTGTGCCTGCGTATATGAGATACCCAGATAATAATATTATCGATTGCAATAACTAGAGGCAGGGTAGTTAGCCTTGGACAGTCAAAGATACCAGGGGCAGAGTCAGACAATACCTCCAATATACGTGAGAGCAACGGTTGGAGTAACCCAAGCACTATCAATGCAATTCCCAAGAGCTGACTCTTTCACGGCACTGTCAAAGTTGGACATTACAGCCAACAAGGATAGAAACACGCCAATAGTGGTAGTGACAATAATGCTCAGCATCTCGGCACGGCTTTTATGGGACTTCGAGAACCAGTGTAGAATGGCAAGGAGAACAAGCGTGAGTCCGGCGGCAGTAAAAAAGAAGCGGAAGACGATGGTGGCAGCGCTAGAAATCTGGACGAGTTCCTGGATAGCTGCTTTGCCCTCTTCCTTTCCTACCTTTGGCGTTTTCCCTCCAGTTTCTTCCTTAACTTCAATACCAAAAGTGTGCATAATCCAGACAAGAGATTCTGCCAGAAACTCTTCCAGGAGCTCACGAACCTCTTCCGAGGCTATAGAAAACTCCTTGAAGGACAACAACTTCTTGTATATAGGGGTGAAATCAGGTTTTCCATCAGTCGATTTTAACTTGCTGGAGATATCGACAATAATCTCCTGGAGCCCTTGAACCAAGTCTGCAGCAGACTGGACTCGATTCACCTTGCTCATGAGTCCAACGAGAGCATTTTCATAGATCCTCTTAGCCACATCGTATAGCACGAACGAACGACTTCCTTCACTAGTAACGAGGATCGCGACATGGAGCGGGTAATGAAAGAGTGCCCAGATCTGCTGACGGATGGTTCCAAAGCACTTCACATCAATTTGATCAAAGTACAGCATATAAACGAAGTATATGATAAGAACATGGCAGATAACCAGGGAAACAGATGTGCCTGATATAGTCGAAGTGCCGAGCGCGATGCTTTTGATCTAGTATTTGGTTAGTTACTGTGTTACTGCGTACAGTGTCAGTACAAGCTGGTGTCCCTTACAGCTTTGGTCATTCCAACAATGCCCTCCCCAAGAACAATCAATGTAAGGCACCCAAATCTCTCGACGATTGGAGTTCCCCTGAAGGACAAGACTTTCCAGAAGCTAGATATGGCAATCATGAACACAGCCTCACAGGCTATGACAACATACCAGGCGATGTGTACTCTTGGTGACTGGATGGAGTGTGCGCTCACTCCTAAGCCCAGGAACACTGTTGCTGAGATGAAGAGGGTAGCAATAACCAAAAATTTAGCAGTAAATGTCTGTTTATGGCCTCTCAGGTACCAAGCAACGGTCGTATATTGAGCGACGAGAATAAATCTAGACACCATGAGAAGGTAACACATGCTAGCGAACCGTCCGCGGTGCTCGAGGATATTAGTGACGCTGAAGTTGACTGACAGCACCGCAAGTCCAGTCATGATGCCTAGGTGAAGAGCCTTGAAGATCCGGGAAATAATAGAGTCAGTGTAGAACCTAATGTCGAACAAGGCCGCTTGTAGCCAGCAAAACCACAGGATGGTTATGAATGCTATGTACGACTTGACGCCTGCAGTGATATTAGAATCATTAACCGAAGTAAAAGGTAGGATGAGGCGAGGCCTTACTGTCAGAAGTGTTGATTTCGTGAGTAGCATGGAAAATGGCGAGTGTAGCGACAAAGAAGAGATCGTAGAATAGCTCCATTGTGGTTGCTTCGTGGTTCTTCTTGAGAACAGGACCCTCGTGAGTACTCAAATTGTCCGCCTCCCCCGGATGCGGTGCATCAGGGTGAGCGCCATCATGGGAGCCATGGCTGTTTTTCTCTAGGATTTCATCCTCGGAGGCGATTGGGCTTTCTATTAAAGGGAGAGGTTTCCTCCAGTTTGACTCAGTGTAGTTGCGGCGAAATATATTCTTGAGCCGCATCGTGAAAAGAGAATACCACACGATTTTAGGGGGGTAGTTATTCTCGTGGCTTGGCAGGATTGGCAAAGAAGCTTGTCTAAAATCCAAGACGGAGGCATTGCAGGGAAATATAAATACTTGAAAGCCTAGAAAAAGGAACAAGAGTCAAAGAAAGGGGGGAAACGATTGGGAAGTGAATGGATTGTATCAAGAAGCGATAGCCTGGCTGTGAGGCTGACGTGGAAGGTCAAGGTTTTGAGGCTGCCAGTGTGGAAAGATGCGACCAATCATTCTGAGCGCAGGTTGGGAATAAGCAACGACAAGCAATCGGGGAAAAGGCTCCATAACTTTCGAACATATATTTTAGTGGGCCTTCAGCAGTTGGAGGATGGGGAGCTGACTTAAATACGGAGTATCTGCATGGTAACTACTCCATAGCTCCTCCGTAAATAGTCTCCCCGGTCTCTGGATATCTGTACCCGTATATATTCACCATGAATCCGTACGGAGAAGGAGTGTGAGACTGACAAATTCCTCATTCGAGCCAATGGCATGTTCTCACATTTAGGATGGTGGCTGTACAGAGCACAAAGAGTCTGTCCGTTATATCTTCGGTCTGTCATGTCTCCATACAGGGCAATGGTTTTGATTAAAGTTGACGATCAGCCCTCCGACTAATCCTCATTGGGTTATGGATGCGAGCAGGAGGAGCGAGTTTCGGTTCTTCGAGGCTTTGTGCATAACAGGCTGTGAAACTTAACCCATCACAGCAGGCAGGCTGTGTTCGCGATGCCAAACCAGTTAATTGATCAGCGCACGGAATCTTGACGACGAATCATAGCCTGCTATCGAGAATCATCAGCTGGAGCGAAGCATCGGAACAGCCACAGAAAATCCTGATGGATTGAGGCCCCAGGGAAAATCAAAACAATTGAGCTGGCGAGTGGATGGTGAGTCATTGCAACGACGGAAGAGCGCTCGATATGGAGTATGCGATGCGATAAGTTAGTTCGCAGTGACATGGGAACAAGGTACGAAGTATTTAAGATGTTGGTGATAGGCGTGTGAGGGTACTCTGTACTCTGCAGTAACTTCATAACGAAGAATGGAATCGCCGAGTAACCCTATCCGCAGTACAAAGTATGGAGTCCATGGGTTAAACGTGTTCTCCATAATCCGTACTCCGTATACTGTTCAGAGTCGCTTCTCGTGGAGTAAACAAAGCGGTTATTTCGCTTGAAGCTGTGGATTGTCACTTCACCCTGCAAAATACAAGGCGTCACAAGGTTGCACAGTAAAACGTGGAACATCGAGGATAGCCCTAGCTTGATCATCCAGTCCATACAACGGTAATACAAGACGCAGCATCATCGCGGCGTAATCCGGCATAAGAAGACCTGTGTTGATGATATGATGTCGGCGCTGCGAGAAGAGGAAGTAATAATATTTTGGCTGTGTACATTACATAATACATTATTAGGTAAGTTATTCACGTGATATCTATACCGCCCGGCGCCCGGGCGGACCATACTACTGGAAATCTCTACCTAGGTAGCTTCGGAATACCGTCAGGTTATATTACAACCACCGCAGCCCCATCGCACACTGACATCCCTGGCTCCAAACAATACCTTCGTTGGCACGGTGCCTAGTGACCCAGTGAATGGTAGTCATCGTGAGTTGAAGTAAAGTTACATAATAAACTCGCAGAAAGGTGGTAGTTTAACTTTATACTTCTATTTATTAAGTAAAAAGAAGTTATACTATTGGCTAGTAATAAAGTCCTCCCTTATTACACTTATTTAAAATATCTCTACGGAGTGCAATCATTGGCTGCCTGGCATTATTTCGTACTGGCGAAGAACGAATTTTGAGTTTATGTCAGCTGCCGCTTGGATTATCCGTATCCTGATAGAATACCCAGCGCTATATCAATCTACCAGCTGGAAGGAATCCAGGAATGCATCCAGCCATCGTCTGTCTCCGCGTCTTTGAACTTCTCAATACTCCCCTCGACACCATGCGCTCCCACAACCAGGATGCCAGTTTCAACCAGCTCCCTCCACCTATTAAACAGTCTCTCAATCCTCTGAGCCCGCCCATCTCCACCGAAGGAAAAGAATCCATGCTGGAAGAGCTCGGAGACACTGCCCCTTGCCACAAAGGTGCCGTCACTAGTCCGCGCGCCTCGCTCGGGGTGGCATGAACCGCTCGTAGCGGGAAGGGGAGAATTAGCTTAAACCCTTCGCCGGCGACTTGTCCATCGTTTAACCTTAAGGACTCACTATATAGCCCTGCAGGGGGTCGGAGCGCTTATAAAATCAATATCATAATGAAAGGGTGTATAATAAATATCCTTACCAAGGTTGGCTATCTGCCGCTTAGAGGTTGCGAAGATTAGTACCGGTGGGATAAGCTCGTTACTATCATTATCACCGCCCCTATTACTATGTGGAATAGTAGTAAATGGCTGGTGTCATCAGTGTCGACCAGGTTATCCGGGTCCGCGACGTAAGTGACCCAGTAGAAGAGGTAAGCTTCCTTGTCCCGCCGCGCTTCATCTGGAGCAATGATGGAGGCGAGGAACAACCTGAGATCCGGGTCAATTTTGTGGCCGACACGAGTGAGCTGGTCGGCATATATTGACTCGTAGGATGGCCGGACAAGCAGATGGTGCAGCTCTTCGGTATCCTCCATAACTAGATCAGGGTCGCCTTCGGTGTTATTAGAAGACGAAGCTGACCTTTTGACAGGAACACTGGACCTCCAGCCTTTGGGCTTCATATCGTCTATCTATAAGACGACGATCTCCGGCGCTGTCTGTAGGTGCAGTTATAGAAATAGTTCCTTTTTAAATAATAGTTTAATTATGGTATCTCATAATAATAAAATAATATCGAATATACCACTAGGCATCTGATGGAAAACCCCCGGGCCCCTATTTTCCAGTATGACCAGGCCGGAACAACAGTGAGCCGTTAATCACGTGATCTTCCCTTGGCAGCCTGATATTCGAACATGGATCTCAGCTTTCTTTTATGTAACGAGCAACAAAACAAACGAGAACATGCCATTTCTTGTTTGCCTTTTCTGTGCTGATCTACAGATACGAGGAGACAAGGCGCCAGAGGCGATCCCAAGAGTTGTGCGGCCTGGCACAGACAAACGAACGCTGATGGGAGACAAAGTGTGGCTTCGGCCTCCATCCCTTCCTCCGTACGGAGTGCCACGCTCGCTTTTCTACTACTAGCAAGGAGTTTGTACGGAATACTCCATAATTCAGGGACATTCCCAGAACACATCACAGCTCCATGTTCCCATGCCGTGGCAGACGCGGCAGGGCTTCCTCAGCCGCTCATCTGGGACCTCTCCCCGGATCAATGGAAACATGGGACCCTATCCAATCACATATTGCCTTGCTGTCTGCCCCCAGCATTTTTAACATTTTCCGTCTGAACAACAAAGTTAGCCTCCCAAGTCACAGTCTAGGCAGCCAGCCATTCTTTCACACAAGGCCAAGGCCCTTCGATCGTTCTTGATACAGGCATGCATGGTGGCCTCCAGCATATGTGGTATTTGGGGATGTATTTATCCACTGAGTTCGATCGAGGGTCTGCCTCCAAAATCTGGGCATCCAGATTTGTCTGTAACCGTGAATCCATTCCTGTGTCGAGGGCGGCCGCGTTGTAGCTTGGATAGGTTTCCTTACCGAAGGGGGTGTAGGGGTTATATGCATGCCTGCTACAATTTCTCCCATCCAGACATGGTGGTGGCAGGGATACATATATTGCCCAGCATGGGAGTTACATTGCGTGTAATCAAAATCAGCCTACGCAGATGTTTCTCTCTCAGAAGATCCAGCAGCTTCCTGGCTGAATGCTTCGCCTAGTCTGTGTATCAACTGCCTCCCTGGAGCTCTCACGAGGGGGTCTAGACAACCAACCACGTTTGTGAATTACGCGATTGCGCATCCCTCTTCTTCAAGAGATAGCCTAAGAAATGATTGTCTCTGGGCCGTGTAACCCGTCCAAGGGGCGAGGTCAATGCAGTTGGAAGATCTCCGCGCATTCATCGGTCCCCATACGGAAAAATATAAATACCCTGGCTTCAGCCTCATCGATGGGCAGAGATGTTCTCCAGTCACTGTACACATCTGTTTTCGTCCGCTCACCCTATTACTCTAATATTCTTAACAGGGCTACTATTGCGGTTATTTCCAAACATACCCCCGTCGATAATCGTGGCAGGGAATGTACCGTGGCTCCTTGTATATTATCTGGGCATATCCAGAGCTGACGATATAGGATATCAGAACTAGACTACACATCTATCCCCTCATATATAAAGCTCCTCATCATCATTTTGCTGCTCAGGCGCCTACACTCCCTGAGCACCATGCATGGACGATACAACTATCATGGAGAACTCCGCGTCGAGCATTAAAGATTCCAACACGACCATAGTCCAAGGGCCCATAACGCGGCGAGACTCACATCCAGAATGTGGCCTACTTCTGGCGGAGCCGGTATATGCGGAGGAAGTATTCGAGACTCGGGGGAACAGCCTATGGTCAGTGGTCGTGATTGATCCTCTTGGATAGTTGTAATGAGTTCATTGCATTTCCGGACTCTATATTAACTCGATAATTAGGAGGGTATTACCTGAGGTTCAAATTAACGTGAGATCAACCGTAGTCCCAGTCTACATGTACATATATTAAACTGACAGCATGGCTAACTGTTGACAGATGATCGCTTTCTCCGGGTATGCTAATCTTTTGAACCCTACAATACGTCGCACACGCTAACCTCGACCGAACCCGTTTCAGCACCATTGGGAATGGTGAGTGAAAGATGTACTGGGCTGGAATGAAGTTTTGGATCATACTCCTAACTCGACATCCTATAGGATTATTCCTGGGAAGCGGTATGATTCTCGCCCTCGGCGGACCAGGCGGTGCTGTTGTCGCATACTTACTCATGGGGACGATGGTTGGCGCTGTAATATCATGTTTGGGAGAAATGACCGCCTTAATGCCAGTTAATGCGCCGGTGATGGAATTCCCACGAAGATTCCTAGATCGCGGAGTGGGTTTTGCGGTCGGCTGGACATATTGGTCAGTTTGACAATCGCATACTCTGGATACTGCTGGTAAGGTCCTCTTTCTGACATCAAACCCTAGGTTCGCCTATGCAGTGGTAGCTACCCACAATATGGTGGGTGCTGCAGAAACAGCCCGATATAGATATGTGGACGGAAAGACAGACGTCACTTGGGAAGTAGGGGAGAGGGTTGATACTGCAGTGTGGATCACCGTTTTCATCGTTGTCATTGCATTGATAAACCTATTTCCAGTCAAGGTGGGCCAAATATACGGCAAGAAAAGAGTATTATTATTATTTTTTTCCGCTGGCTAATATTTAGTTTGAATGGGTCAGTATTTCGGTATGCTCGAGTACGTCGTTGGAAGCGCTAAAATGATATTCATCATACTTCTAATTGTAATGATGGTCATTCTCAGCGCGATGAATCGTACGTTAAACCCCCCCTACTTCTATACCCTTGATTGCTTGCATCCCTGGACTCCAACTAATGCGGAGGTTAACAGCAAGGAAATCTGCGTACTATCAGAAGCCACTCGGAACAAAGTGTAGGTTCACTCCGGTTGCTCTCACATCAGAACTTGATAACTTGAAGGTGTATTATGACTAACAGCGACGGATTGAAAGACTGGGACTCCCCATACTCTTTCTTCAACCCCGAATACCATATCAAAAATAAAGATGGCTCTGTTCGGGTAATAGACGGAGGGCTGGGAAGGTTTCTCGGAGTTTGGTGTGTACCGTAATTCGCTCATACCATTTGATTTGCTCCAGGCCACTAACTATAGCTATTGTCTGCCCTTGGTTATAGGAATGCATCCGTGAATGTCATATACTCGTATGTGGCTGTGGATATATTTGCAGCTACGGCAGCCGAGAGTAAATCTCTTGCTGACTCGGAGTGCATGAAGATGGCGGCCAGAAAGATAACACTCCGAATCGTCATTTTATACGTACTGGCGATGCTAACGTGTTCTTTCCTCGTCCCATACGATCACCCTTTCCTCAATGGAGAAGCGGTATCACTGGCCACAGAGTCGCCGTTTGTGATTGCAGTTGTTGAAGCAGGCCTTCCGGCAGCAGGAGAGTTTTTCAACGGAATGTACCTGTTTTCCTCGTTCACCTGTGCCGTAAACTCTGTGTATGTTGCGTCACGGGTAATGCACACATTGGCTCTCAGAGACCAAACAGGACCCGAGTTTATAACCAAGCGGCTGCAGCAATGTCATGCTGGAGTACCAACGAGAGCTGTGCTGGCGACCGTGGCCATATTGGCTTTGGGATATCTGGGACCCGGAAAAGGTCCAGGCGATGTAAGTGTGCCTATTATATACTGAGGAACCTCTTTGTCATCCCAACCTAGGTTCTGCCAAATTTGTGTCTGGCTGACATTGTGAACTGTAGCGGCTGCGTGAGCTTTCGTCCAACTGCACAGTATCGTTCCTAATTGTTTACGGGATCATATGTGCGACATATTTGCGCTTTTACCAAACGTAGGTGTCATGATGCGAGGGCCCCAACGCTTCCCTGGATCTTGGAGCTGACTCAACTTGCACGAAATAGTCTTCAGGAGGCCAATTCACTCGGCAACACTGCCGAGTCGCAAAACGGCGTGTACGATCGGCAGAATCCACGATACCCATATAAATCGCACGGGCAGTGGCTGAAGGCCTGCTATGGGATGGTGTCGTGTTTTATATTACTCGTCTTCAACGGGATACCCGCATTTCTCAGCGATCCGTTTGATACCCGGGCTTTTGTTGTTTCATATATCAGCGTAAGTCAAACCGCCCAACGCATCCAGATGCATGCAGATCAAAAGCTGATGCAATAGGGGTTCTGTGTCAAACAATAGCTGCCCGTCTTCATTCTGCTGTTTGTGGGCTACAAGATACGAAGACACGGGCTCCATTTCTCATCCTGGGGTGCCGAGTGCTCCAACGACCTGCGGAACTGCGTCCAAACGACGAGCGGAACCCACAGGAAGGGAAGGTTAATTTTCCCCGATCACGGACCAACTAGAAGGAACTGGGAAACATTCTTTGCATGGGTTTGGGCATGGACAAAGTGAGCTGGGATAGGTATCTTGGAGTTTTCGGAGCCCCTTTGTTTGTTTGCAGCGTTTGGCAGGTTTATATGGCTATAATAACCACTTACTACTACTGTATAACCCCTTCCGGGTGTATAACCAACTAATACATTCCGTTCTTGATACTGGGATTGGTCAACAGCCCCCCCAACATAGACAGGCTGATCCTGCGTGAAATTCTTGCTCGCGAGGTAGTAAAATAAGGAGGTTGAATAATAATGTCTCATCTCATCACCTTGCGGCCTTTTTCGTTAGTGAGCTGACTGTGCACGTGACACGCTGGTGCCTGGGCACTTTTTGGGAGCGACTCCACCTCCTCGACGACGACGACGACGAAGGACGAAACCAACATCCTCAACGTCGTTCAGCACCCTCAGCATCTTCGTCGGTTATCCATATCTGTGTAGCATCACTGTCTCTCGCTCATTTCTTCCTTCCTTTCCTCCTTCCCTTCGTTTCTCTACCCAACTGTTGTCTCTCCTGTGTATCAAGGTCCAAACGATCCCTTTTCTTTTTGTAACCAACCGCCCACCACTCGAGGCTGCCATGATCTCTCCCTCGCACATCATCGGGGCACTCGTCCGTCGAGGGCTGGAGACTGCCCCCCAGCATCTGGCTAAGCGGGAGGATGTCAAACGTGTGGTCTTCTCTCTACCTTTTGCCGCCTTTACCGTTCTCACTCTGATCTTCATCGTGGGACTCATCGCTGTAGGCGCCCTGAAATAGACACTGTCCTTTGTTTCAGCTGATACTAACGCGGTTGCTAGATCGACTATACATATGGCCGTGTTGTGACTACGCTGACGATCATCGAGGATCCCAACCCGCCGGCGGCTGCGTCTCTGCCCAGTTACAGCGACGTGGTCGAGGACGGTCCAAAAGGCGCCACTATCGATAAGAAGCAGCAGCAGCAGCCCCTTGGTCAGCCTGAAATTGAGGCACTTCCCACGGCCTATAAACCCATCACCAGCGGGCTCCGCTCAACGACCAAACATCTGCGTACTCGCGGTGGCCCCCGTGCCCGATTCCGTGGGTTTACTTACTATGTAGCCCTGACTCTTACCCGTGGTCTCTTGACAGGTTTGGTTGGCTTTATGGGGGCTGTTGCTCCAGTGATTGCAGATGTTGCCGTTTCGACCATGATTCTCGCCTGGATCCACGCTGTTATCGCTGCACCCAGCTCCAAGTCCTGGTGTCAACGCTTCCCATCAATCCGTAAGAACTGGATCAAGATAGCACCAGCCGTTTTCATCTCGACAGTAGCCTCGCAGCTGAGCTTCCACGTTCCGGTTGCTATTGGAGCGATGTTCGGTGGTTTCCGTTACGACGGGCGTGGCATGTACTCTCTTGCTGAGCCCCGTCCCATCTACTTTGCGCATGCCGGCGGCGCCGTGGTTCTGTCACTGATCTTGGGCCTGGTGCTTGACCTCCCTGCCTCTGTGATGATGGTCCGGGTTGCAGCCTCTCTGTTGCCCGCGGACGACGAGACCATCGTCCCCTTCGACCGAACCTTTAACGGCAAAGTGACTTCTGTGGACGCTGATGGTGCCGGCCTCGTTGGCATCCTCGACGCCTGGAAGACCTTCAGCTGGGCCTCCTTCCGACGCCTGCTCATGAATCTAGTCAAGACTTGTGGCCTGATCGCGGCCGCATGTCTGGTTTATGGTATCGTTGGCGGCGTCGGGTTCGCCGTGTTCGCACCTAACGGTCCCAAGGCCTTCATTGCTTCTATGGGCCCTGCAGTCTGAAGTGGTATTTCGATATTTCGATATCCCATGAGGATAGATACCCAGCGATAAGCCAGGTTGGCTTTGACTGCAGACAGCTGCAATATCGTGCCAAATACCAGCTCCTCCTCAGTGGATGGAAAGAGCTATATATCCCATCCTATACCTTTTTGTACTACTTTTGTATCACTCTCTGTACCACGCTCCCTTCCCGCTCGTTTATGCCACAGGCACACATGTGTATCTCCGCCAATGTAATAGTCATTTATAATTAAGTAGGTCATCAATTTGACCATGGATAATCGGTGCCAATAAACCAGCTGTGCCCCGTACTCTGCCAGTTATGTCCATCCAGTGTTG